GTGAGTTATTTACCATGTCTCTGACTCACTCATTTTGCCCTCCCTGGAACAAGAGAACATTCCTGTTTTGCCTTGTGTGCTATGAAATCACAAGGGGTGTCCTGTATACTGTAGAAACATTGCTGCCATATCTGATCCTGTCTTGGGAACATTGTCCAGGTGGCCTCTCTGAACTGCACATTTTGTAATGTTTTACAAAGTAAGAGATCTTTCAAAGTGATTTACAAAATGCTATATGAAATTGCTAAATGATTTGGCAATATTAGAAATCTCATGAATGTGCTACAAATCCTTTGCTAATGCTGTATGTTTTAAGACTGACAATGCATTTCAAAAGTCCTTGAATGGCAGTGAGAACTCAGACATGGCAAAAGAGTTGCAACACCATAAGCTGTTATCTGAGCAAAGCTATATTCCCCCCGAAATTTGTGGGGTTTAACATGGGATTTGCATTGCTGATATATTTTTGCTTTTACTAAGAGCTTACAGTATTAAAATTAAGGATATTGTTCGTGGTATAGATTTCTTTAACCATGGGGAAAAACCCAAAATGCTTAATTTTCCTTTCTTTTATGTAGTATCTTAGGTTGACTTTGGCTGGATGCCAGGTGCCCTCCAAACTGTTCTATTTCTCTCCTTCCAGCTGGACAGGGGAGAGAAGATGGAAAACAGCTCATAGGTTGAGATAAGACAGTTTACTAAAAGATAAGCAAAAGTTTGCACGCACACAAGCAGAGAGACTAAGAAGGGTTAATTCTCTGCTTCACATTGGCAGTGACATTCAGCCACTTCCCAGGAAGCAGCAGTTCAGCATGCATAGGGATTGCTCCAAAAGGAAAATACTGTAAATAACCAATCCCCCCCCTCCCCCCCTTCCTCTTCATTCCCTTAGCTTTTATATGTGAGCTGACACCGTATGGTATGGAATATCCCTTTGGACTACCTCGGTCAGCTGTCTGGTTGTGTCCCGTCCTGGGATCATGCCCACCCCTGGCCAAGAAGTTGGGGAGACTGCACTGCTGCTGTGCCAGCTGTGCTCAGCTGCAGCAAACACATTAGTGTGTTACCAGCACCTTTCCAGCCACCAGTGCACAGCACAGCACTGTGAGGGCTGATCTGGAGAAATGAACTTTGTCTCAGTCCTAGATTATAGCAGAAAAACTCAGTAACTCAACAAGCCTCTTGCCAGGTCTACAAATTTCCCTTCAGAGTGTGTTTTGGCCCAATGGGCCCAGGGTGGATATATTAATTTTAAAATATTCAGCATTACAGTTGGCTGTTGCTGCTGACAGGAAGGTATGTCTGGGTCCTTTGCTTCAGTTATATGCTAACCCTGGATTATGTGGGCTATTACAAGTAAAGAGAAGTAGCATGCTGAGAATGAACAAACCCCTCTGAATTGGATGCTAGATGTGCAGTGTGATTTCAGTGTTTCCTAATCATAAAGTGCAGCCCTGCACACACACAATTTCTTTTTTCACTAAGCTTTAGGGGCACTTGTGCTATATATCACTCCTTAAGATCTAGTGGAAACTGCTTCTGTACAGTTGCAGCCCTGCATCTGAGTAGTGCACTGAATCATCATCATTCCTTTTGTAATGTATCTGGCTTATCTTGATCCAAGTCAAATGTGCACATTTATCTTTTCAATAAATTTTCATTTACATCAATGTTTTAAAAAATCTTTTGACTTACCACTTCCACTGAAGTAACTAATTACTTCAACCGATAAAATCTGTTTTCTTAAGTCACCGAGTTGAATTGTTCAACTCTGTTTCTTTTCCACTGTCTGCTGGCTACTGTAGAAATTTGGTGTTTGCTTTCTCCTGGGTCTTTATTTAAATTCCACTCGTTTTATTAAATTTACCTACAAGCTGTGGCATTTCCATTTATCTGGAATAAACTGGTGCCCATTTCCTGTGATTTCCATCTTCTGAATTTATCACTCTTAATTCTGTGAAATTTATCTCTCATCCTGAATGCAGGGGAGCTACAGGGGATTTTTTATTCTTCTCAGACTAACAGCTGTCCAGAATTTCTCTTTTGTGCTTTCTTGCATCAGAGGTGTAAATATTGATTGCACTATTGCATGCATCAAAAGCGTTCCTTAGAAGTCTGTCTAGATTTCTCATTCAATGCCTTTGATCTTTTTTTGCCTTTTTTTACCACAGTGAACATGTAATTATTCCACTTAAACCACTTGCCACTTAAACTCTCTCTGCCTGCCTATGAGAACTGGTGAATGAATTCCATTTTTTGCTTTGCTTGCCTGTATAGCTTTTGCTTTCCCTGTTAAACTGTATTTATAGTCAACCCACAAATTCCCTCACTTTTGTTCTTCTGATTCTCTCTCCCCATCCTGCCAGGAAGAGTGTGCAAGTGGAGCATGAGGCTGTCTTAGTTTCTGACTGAGGTTTAACAATAACACACACTTTGTTCTGAACTCCTCTGCCTGGATGGTGCCACTGAACTGCAGGTTAATGTCATACACACAAATACACATCCTGCACTTCAGCATATCCAGTGCTGCCTCAGCAAAGCACTAGGACAGCTTAGCAGCCTTTGCCTGTCACAGAGAGATGCTCTAACACCCAGGGACCCCATCACATACCCAGGAACCCCATCACATACCTAGGGACCCCATCACATTACCAGGTCAGGGCTTGTGCTGGCAGGGTTGTCTGCACTCCATGGACTCCTACTGCCCTAATTACTTAATTATGTCAATGGCAGTAGTAAGAGACTGCTTGGCAGTATGTGCTATTTCTAAACCCGCTGAAAAAGGGCTGAAATTTCTTTGCTCTTAGACTTGTTAAAGTCTTTAAGTCTTTGAAGTCTTACTCATAATGACAGTAGGGCAATGAGATCCAGAGTCTGCTTTTGTGAGAGATTGCAGCTGCACAGTAATAGGCACCACAAAAGACCTGCTTCCTCTCTGGGCTACCCAGGACACACTGTGAGCAGCAGAATGAATTTTTTACCCACCCAGGCAGAACTGGACAAGTTCCACATCCAACCTTGAGGAAAGGTATAAGACATAGGTGAATGACTTGGTTCCTTTCCATAGATTCCACAAGCAGAAAGCCTCTTGCTGTGTAGAAAGGCTGGAGCAGAAACAACACCTGCACAGTGGGACTTGTGAGATGCTCAGGGAAACGGGAGGAAGGAGTGGGCTCTGGCATTGGCACTGGCAAAGGTGCTCTTCTGTGGGGCATCTCTGCACTACTGCAGCACAGTTGTGGGAGTTTGCCCTCTTGTGTTCCCAATGCCAGGCACAGCTCAAAGCTGCAGAGAAAACCAAGTAATGCACTGGACGTCATGATTTGCCAGCACCGAGGCAAGAGGGGAGAGAAACAGAGAAAGGGAAAAGGGCAAATTATATGCTCAAGAATAATTTTAAAATGAGCTTAGATTTGGACAAAAATTATATCCTTTGCTCATTTATGAAACAATTTTCCAACTTGCTAACACTAAATTTCTGCAACCTCAAGTGGATGTCTGTAAATGCTTTTGAATTTTATTCCCACTTACAAAAAAAATCACTGCTCTATTTTCTCCTTTACTGGAACCAGTGTAATGGATTTCTAATTTACCAGACCAATTACTGCTGCCAAGATATGAGTTTCAGCCAAAATATTTTCCACAAAGAAAACAGTAAAAGTAAAGCATCTAAGCAGACATTTTCCAGTAAACATATCTCTTGGCATTGTTAAATATTATGGGGTACATTGCAAAAAGTCAATCACTGTTTAAATACTCGCCTTTCCTGTAAAAGATTGACATTTCTGATGGCACAAAATCAATTTAGAAGCCTTTTTCGTAGCCATTCAAAAAGGTTAAACCGTAGAGATGCCTGTGGGATTTTGTATATTTCTGTATAAAAAGAATATATATTGCATATAATTAAAGCAGCAGCGCTCCGTCTAAACAGCAGGTGGTGCTAAGGGATCACTCTGTAGACGTGAAACTAAAGGTGTATTTTATTTTTATTCTGTTGTTGATTAAACATATGCAAACAGATTAACTATGTGGGGTTGGGGTGGGGGTTTTTTCCCCTTATTTCAGATGTATCCTTAAATTTCAAATGTATCTTTAATACAGAAGGGTACTGTATGAACGAAACAGCGTGACATTCTCTTTAATTTTACAGAAATAAACCTTCAGACAAGAGGAAACTAATTTATATTCTGAACATAAAACATTGAATTCGAGAGCCTTCTGCTCAAGTGAATGGCAAAAAGAAATGTATTCACTGTTCTTACGTGGAGCATGATTGCATTCCTCATTTGTTGAAGTGGGTCAGTGATTACTGCTTGAATCCCACAAACAGTTTAGTGTGGCTTATTTGCATATAAATCAGGATAATAGCGAGTGTTTAATCACATCCTTCATCAGAGGTGTCTGGTTCGCTGCTCAAGTACTGCAGCCATGCTTGTCAGACTGGGAAGATATGTGCACAACAGTTTATATGTGGCATAATCCTCTCTAAATTTTGCTGAGAATATGCAATTTGAGATGATCAGAATAGGGAAGATGATCAGAATACTGAAGTACACATTCAGTAAGTTTCTTCCTTTCTTCATTGTTACTTTCTAAATGTTAACAGATATTTGGGCATTACAGTAAAGGTTAGAAGTACACATGTGATTTTCTGCATGAAAGGAACGGGGCAGCAGCAGTGGCACTGCAAAACCAGAGAGTGAAGGGATATGTATCATGGCAACCACTGCCTTCAAAAGCATAAATGATCCTCAAGACTGGTGGGGCTACGTGTTGCAGTTTCTCTGAGTCCTAAGCAAGTGGTGGTCAGCCCCTCCACCACAGCCTCCTGAAAGAAATCATCTCACTTGACTCTGTATGTCTCCACCACGAGGTGCACCACAATTAAGTGATATTTTATATGAACAAGAAGAAATTAACTAAGTAAATGTCTGTTCATCTACTGACTATCGCCAAGGGATGTTCTAGACAGATATTTCAGATATAGATATAGATATGGATATAGATGTAGATATAGCTATCTTATAAATACCTAATATATTATAAATACCTAAGTTCCTAATATAGATCTCACCCATTTCCAAATGTAAATCACTTTTAGTTTTCAGACAGGGACTAGTTAGAAAGATTGAAGTCTAACACGAAGGAACTGGGCACAACAGTCCTTCAAAATTATAACTCAAGTTTCCTGTACAGTCAGTGACAAGATGAAGTCCTTTGAAAAGTCTAGAAGGGGTTTTGCTCAGATATTTAATTTGTACAGATACAATCCTTATTTCCCTTAAGATTTTGAAAGACACCTCTATCTCTGTAAGAAATTTGCATGAAAGTAGGAAAACTGGTTCACTAGGGGCTGCCTTAGTCAAAGTATGTCAAAGGCACAAGTCTTGGTGCTGCAAAACATCCTCACAAGGTGCCCATCAGTTATAAGAGCTCTGCACTCCCCCATTAATAGTACAAACTGGTTGCAGTCAGACACATTTGACCTCTGACAGCCCCTCGGGCCTGAAAACAAACTTGTTGCTGCTACAGCTCCTCTCTGGAGTGACAGCAAACACAACGAGGGGTCCTTTTCAGCCCTGTCTGCTTGGGTAAGCACATTATAGATCACAAATACCAGCAGTCTGACCTTCATTCCGAGTCAGTAGACTATGAAGCCACTAGGCTTTAGGAGCTCTCAAAGGCAAGAATAGCTCCTGATTGGAGATAATAAAGACATGAGAGGGATAGTTTCACAGTAAGCAAAATATATGAAGCCCTTTAGATCCTAGTGCGCAGCAGCTTTTATTAATCTGACATTAAATTTCTTTATTCAGTGTTTTATGTGGTGAGAAGTCCTGCACCATGTAAATAAAGCTGGCTCTAGCTGGAGAGTAGTTACAGACTACCTCCTTTTTTGTATGTCCTCCTTTTTTTTTGGCTGGACTAGAGTTAATTTTTCTCTCAGTAGCTGGTATAGTGCTGTGGGGTTTTTGATTCATCATGAGAATAATGTTGATAACTGAGTGATGTTTTAATTTTTGTGAAGAAGTGCTTACGCTGAGTCAAGGAGTTTCAAGTTTCCCATGCTCTGCTAGGGAGGGACTGCACAAGAGGCTGGAAATTTGAAATCTTTCAACTGTTCTTATCTCAACCCACAGGTTTTACCTTTTCTTTTTTTTTCCCAGTTATCTCTGCTATCCCGCGGGGAGCCGAGGGAGTGAGCGAGCAGCTTCATGGGATTTAGCTGCTGGCTGGGGTTAAGCCATGGCATGGAGTGACAGCCCCATATTGCCTCAGTGCCTACTGACAGACTATGAATTTACCTCCCCAGGGCTGGCTCTAGCAGTGACAGGCTGTTTGCAGGAAATGCTAAATGTTCTGCTGCTGCCAGATAAGGATGAGTACAACACAGACTCTCTTTTCAAGCCAGAGCCCCAGCCAACACCTGTAGAAAGGCATCCACAGCTCAGCAGCAGCACAGCAGCCCCTCTGCGAGCTTGGCTTATCTGTGAAGTCCCTAAACAACTGGGGGGACTCTCTCCCAACGAGCTCAGCTTCCCACCTGGTACAGAAACACTGCGTTTTCCCACTGTGAGGAAAGCACATTTTCAAGGTTTGGCTGCCTCAGAGGACATCTGCTTTGACTTGAATCACAGCTCAGACCTCCTGCAGGGACTTGACAAAGAAGCAAAACCTGGACTGATGCTGGCTCATATTCCTTTAATTCCTTCCCCTTACTGTAGTGAAAAAGGATCCAATAATCTGAAGCTATGAGACTTACTGGGGCAGGAAATCCTGCAAGGAAAAGAAAGTACAGATAATGAGCCCAAAACTACATTTTATTTATGAACATTATTAGAAGCAATAAAAAATCCCAATTAGATTTTTACTTAAAAATATATTAGACACTGACACTTATCCAAAACTTGCTACAGAAACATGAGCTCAGCCACAGTTTCATTTGAAATTACTAATTTCACAGGTTTTAAAAATATAAATCACCATGATGATATCACAGTCATAAATCCTAGTGAAATTGTATTTTACATCTTTCACATTAAAACCATAAATTTGCTTCTTCAAGTATTCATTTTGTGAGATTTCTGTATTTAATATCTGAAATGAATTTACTGCTTTATCAATGGGATTTGGTGTGTACTGAAGGATTGCAGACATTCTTTGTTTACCTTTACTTGCTTTTGTTTACCTTTTTCACCGATCTCATTTCAGGACTTCAAGAACACAACATGCTATTGCAAAATCCTTCACCAGGCTGCTGGGAGCCTGCTGCTTGTAACAGGCATTGCTTACAGCCTCCATCTCTTTGTCTTACCACAAGCTCACATATTAAATTTGTGGGCTGTAGATATGCCCATGGTTTATTGCACTGAAATCCTCAGCTTCCTTTGATGGCACCCTGGCTGGTAAGGTCAATTATCTTCCACCAGCTAATGTATATATGTTAGGTGTTGTCTTTTTCAATGAGTGGGATAGCTTTTTACCTACTTTATTCAAAATTAACTCTCCATTATGTCTGAAAGGATTTTGCTTATAATAATCTGTCACAGTAGGAGTCTACAGCTTCAGCTCCCTCATTGTTGAGAGCATTTAATATACAGAAATTGAAGAAAAAAGGCAAAGAATACAAACACAGCTATGGATCTTTTCTAATTATTTGATCTGTCTCTTCGATAAATACAGATTTTAAAAATTTGCCATCAACAGCAGCATAGATAATATAATAGTGGAACTCATTGATCTAATCCCCAGCATAAGAGATATTAAAGCTTTTGGGAGTCACTGTGACAACTGCCTGTTCTAAACACCTGCAGGTTTTTTAAATTTTGTAGTTACTCACCACAGGAAAAAAATAATCTGTCAGTTAAAGAGATATTGTAAGTTTCTCAAATGATGTTTTAGCTAGAAATGAAAGTTTTGCTTTGGGATTTAAATAAATATGCTTAAGAAATATTAAAAGTATGAGCTTTTAACATAAGCTTAATTGGAAGTGAAGTGATGCTGTTTCATGCGATGATATGAACACAATGCTGAAGTGATGATAACTGGTACAGAGGCAGGCAACTTTTACTCTATCATACACACATGCACACCCCAAAAACTCTCAAGATACTGTACTCACTTTAAAAAGCAAAAAGATATTTTAATAATGTTTTTAAAACAAGTCCCAGACACACTACTATTTTCTCCCTGTAAGCATGAAAGCCAACACATTCTTGGTTCTCAAAATTTATTGTAAAAATTCATTTTATTGTTTATACAACAAGTTTTTAACAATATAACATGAAGCCGTAATGAAATATTATACGACAGAATAATATGTCCTGCCTTTTCATTCAGGACATACTAAAACTGCAGTATTTGGCATCAGTACTTTACATTTGACAGGATCAATAACCTTCTGGGAAATACCCTTTACTGCTTTTTAATGAGCAAATTGATGTATTTTGAAACAGAAACTTTATTTGTTATCAAGTTATCTTCCTGAAAAGCTGCAACTGAGAATGAACAATTTTAAATGAATGTTGACACCTTCACAACAGCCATGTTTCTGCAGTTCTCCAGAGAAAATGCAGAAGTAAATAACATTTCAGAGCTGCAGGGACATTAAAAGCATTAAGTGACTGTTCATTTTGATTTTCTTCCTGAAAAGTGTATGATTTTCAAAGGATATGAGTAAGGCCATAAACAAAAGTAGAGTCATGAATTTTAAAGATTTCAATCAATCCTGATATTCTTTGTTCTCCACACAGACCATTTCCTGTCCTTTACACCAAAAGTCTATTTCTGTTATGAAAGAAATGCCCTGAGCCAGGCTCAGGCAGGCAGCCCTGTGTTAGATCCCACAAACAATGTGAAGACTCACCAGAGACCTAGTCAGATGTAAGACACTTATCACTGAAGTTCCTAAATGCATGGCCCTCTAACATGTCCTTTATGCAAAACAAAGATTACAAATTTCCACTGCACTTTCCTCCAGCCTCCTTTCTCAGGGTAAGATGTAGGTAATTCCAAACATATAACTTTTAATATTGCTGCATGTTCCTCAAGTATTTCCATTCCTTAGGAAGAAGCTAAAGACTAAAGGTTGCATTTTAAAGGTATGTAGACATCAGGCTGCCTTTACAAATCATGTCATTATTCTTTTTTTATTGTCTGCAGATCCAAGATGCTTGGCCAGAGGCAGGAAGTGGTGTGGCATGGCTCACAGTCTGTGCCAGTGGCCTGGAGCCACAACACACACCCCAGGCACACCTCTTCCTCACAGCCAGCACCAAAAAGGGACAGCAATAACTGCTAACAGGAGCTGACACAATTTATACAGACTCAGGCCTGGGAAGATGCTACAACTGCTAAAAGAGAGAGCTGGTACCATTATCACCTGACATGGTGTAATAGCAAAGCACTCAAACACTATACTCATGAAATGTATGCTGACCTGAAACAACAAAAGAGCTGGCTCCAGCATACTCAGTGCTTCCTCTGAGAAATGCTACTCATTCTTCTCCCTCAAATATATCAGAGCCTGCACTAAATGAAATTCCCAGTGAAGTCAGGATGCCCCAGAGCGGCCTCCAAGCCAGCTGTGATCCCTTCTTGTTGCAAAGGGCTTCGGAGAAACCCCAGTGAAGGACAAATATTTGCTCTCTGTTGAGTCTATTGTCACATCTGATGTTGAAAAAAGTCACTATAAGGTATCTCCCAAAGCAAGAAATGCAAACCTTCCCTACCAGAGTGAAAACATTTGAAACACAAAACCAGTAACCTACCACAAATACCATAAGCAAAATGCAGCTCTGTAAGAACAGAAATCCTGGCAGAGATGACCCACAGACTTTATACCATTGGCAAGCTACATTATTGCTTTATTGCCAACTGATTACTTTTTGAGCAGCTTCACCAAATCACACATATAACATGCTTTTGGCACCACACTTTGTCTTTATTCAAAACTCCTAAGTGGTCAATATTGTTCTTCTAAATGTAATAAACATTCAGATGATTTAATGAATATAGTATTTCTGTTTTAATATTTGATGCAAAGGAAAACAATGCTCTTAAAACTGATTAAAAGCTTTGTAGCTAAAAACACTGGGTTTTGATTTGAGCCAAAACATAAATGTAATAAGAAAAATAGAAAAGGAATTAACTCATGGTCCTGAAGGGACTATGAAACATGCTATTAAAATACTTTTAAAGGGTTTGAGAGGGTGAGGGCCAAACTAAGACAAAATATCAAACTTTGACCCACATTCCATCTCCCATGACCCATCACAACTGCAATATGACTGCCCACTGGCTAAATTTCCATCAGTATTATTAAGGGAACATGGCTCAGGGGTGATGGACCCTGCAAACAAAGCCAGTTCTGAATTTAATAGAAGAAACAACTAAAAAGTAAAAGAAAGATATTTTACCACCCCACTGTATATCTCTAGAGCCAGACAGGGATGAGAATGGCCTTGGGCAAGCTAAGAAAAGACTCTACATCTTCCAAACTCTAGATCTAGTTAAGCATCCATGCACAAATTGCAAAACCACAAAATCCCAGAAATGTGGATTCTAGCAGGGCTCTGCTGGTCACTTATTGTGGTTCCCTCTCACAGCAGCCTTTCCCCTCCCCGCACTGAATCCCTGATGCAATGGGATTCTCCAAGGTGGGCAACTCCCTGCCAGGAGCAGCGGCAGGACAAGGGTCCTGGTACTGGCATGGCCCACAGCACCACTGTGAAACACAAGAATCTACACACCAGACAGAGATTATTCTGTCTTGGAAGCATTTTAAATTACTTTTGTAATAGTAGTATTAAGAGTAGTAGAATTAGTTTTTCCTTTTGTTTTGTTACTGGTGAAAATTTGTCATCAAGGGGAAAAAAAGATGGAACAAGGTTGACAATGATTCTCATCCATGTCCCAGCTGTACTCTGAGGCTGCAAAAATGCCATTTTGATTTTAAGATTGCATGCAGAGCTCTCTGCTGAATGGGAAGTGAATCATCATAATGCAAAACATCCGAATTTAATGGAGACAATGCACTGTACTATACCTTCTCCAGTTAAGGAAAAATGCAAAGAGAAAATGTACTCTATTCTTTGACACAGCTTCTCAGAATTACAGCAAATACTTTGGTGCTAACAGTTTATTTTTGCTAACACGTAGATACTCTTTTCTTGCAATTCCTTTATGATTCTTCCCATGGCCATACCTGGCAAGAAATAGTAGGTAAAAGGCTGGGAAACAAGGGGGCAGCAGAGCCTCTTTCAAGCTTAGGAGTTACAATGGCATTGGAGACATCCCAGCATGATTAAGGGAAATCCAGGAACATCCATTTGAATCAGTGGCAGTGGAACAGCATAATCCTTCCACACTAAGCCCTGCTTTGTTTTCAGATTGTGCTGCTGATCCTAATGAGAAATATCAATGGGAGAGTAAAAAGGGGCCTGCATATCACTTTATATTTTTTGGAATAAAATAGGGTCATTCCTACTTCTGATAGCAACTCCCAGGGCTGTCAGTTGCCTCTAAACTCGGCTTTTATTGGCCAGTATCTGAAATCAGTCTCAGAAGTCAATCACCAAATTTGTCACCAATCATTTATATCTGTATATATGTATATATATTTCTGTACAGGCTTAAGTTTGTTTCCTTACAGGTAAAAGCACCAAGAAATATAAAACCAGAAAGCCAACCTACAAGTGCCATTTTACAGGCTCTATTATGGATTTTGACATACTCCTGTGATTCAAGGCAGTGGCAGCATATTCTGATTAAAAGTGTGAAAATATGTTCTCGGGGAAGAAAAAAGTCAGATCCTTTCCCTAGGGAAGTTGAACTAATTGGCACACTGTTTGCCCAGGAATGACTGAAATGTAACAGAGAACTTAAATGATAAAGAAATATCTTGTAATTGATAAATCCTCTTATTTCCCATATGCCATTCCAGTTATTTCACTGGGTCACACACTCACAACTATTAATAACTTTGAACAGGACACCTCTGCTTTTTGCAGCATGGCTATTACAATATGCAAAGTGTCTCGTTTGACAGCCTGAGCTGCCCTTACACAGTCTGATAGGCTGCAGACAGACACTATTTTTCACACAAAGAGCCTTTCTGCTTGAGCAGCTCCCATCAGACATCACCACCAGCAGCACACCACGATATCCAAGTGAGCAGCTGCCACGCTCATCAACACAGCGTGGTAATACTCAAGCATAAGGAGCAGAGAAGAGCTTACAACCTCCAGCAGGCTAAGGGATCTGTACCAGGTTGATGTGGCTAGGGTTTAGCTTTTGACAATTTGCAGACCCCAGGGAGATGGTGTTTCAGTGGGCACTAATTATATGCTCTCTTTTGGTTGAATTTTCACTGAGAACGAAGTGCCTTGCAGATATCTTGGCTCCTTGTGTAAAATTTCATTTATTTTCTAGTGTTTTCCTCTATTCTTTGCCATTGCCATTTAAGTGTAAATAAAGTTTATACCATGAGGAAGGGTACCTAGGGAGGCCCCTGGTTTTTTCTCCACCATCTCAAAATGCTTTCCATGATCAGTTAGGAGTTGCTGACTTGCTGAGGCTTACAACCACTACATTTTCAGCTAATCTTCTTACTTGGCTTCCCCAGCTGTCGTCATACTGAATGGGATTTAATTTTTGTAGCAACTTGCTTATCTTTGAAGTCAGTGTTATCCCTTCATAAAATCCTTTGTGTGCCAAAGATTAGAGGAGCCATTCTTTAGCATGCTCAGCTTTCACAGCTCCTGTAGACAACCTAGAGAGTCCTATAAAACCACTGTATCTAGAAACATGTTAGTTCTGATTTGAGAATCAAACATGCTGCTCAGAGGCCCAGCTTAACCAAAAAGGAAATCAAAACAGTTTTGTACACTGCTGCTGAAAGCAAGCAATATTTTTTAGAACTGGGGAGAAATAAAGAACACTTTTGGCTACCTGAACCAAAGTTATTCTGATCTCCTTCTACAGTTTTAAATAATTTATTTGTTTGTCTCATCGTTCCTAAAAGCCCCATTACATTCAGGTAGCATTTTTCTGCATTATGCAGCCTTACCATTGTTTTAGTCTAACAGACATGCTGAAAGACCAAAATATAAACAAGAGTTTATTGAATGTATTTCCATTCTAACATCTAAAGGCAGATTTGTTATTGAAAGAGTTACTTTATTTATCAATCTGGCTTACAACCAACCAGTTTCATGGCTGCTAATCAGACTACAGCAGCTGCCACCTTCAGAAGAACATGTGTGTGCCAAGATGTCTGCTGACTGCTTTGTAATTTCCCAGTACAGTTCCACAGGCTGCTGGGTCCTTCCTCTTGCATCTGAATCTCATGACCAAAGATTAACAACTTTCTGAAATGAGAGTTTAGAGATTTAAAGTGTTATCCATATTTAAAAATGGTGTTTTATAGTATTTCATTAGATTTTGTATTAATTCCAGCACCCAAGTTTTTCCCACCCCTGAAAAGCCCCAGCATTTCCTTCCAGCAGAATATGCCCAGCAGAGGCCAGAGAGGGAGCCATCTGTCCATGGAAGTGAAAAGAGCACTCATGGAGACCTGCTCCAGGTGGTGTTATAGGCCATATGGGTTTTTTCCACATGGATCAAGCTTTGCTCTTGTGCTTAACCTGGATTATTTTGAAAAGTGGCTGCTCAGATTTTATGTTGGCATGGAGATACATATTGAATTGGCTGAAAACTCTGCAGTGTATGACAGGTTTCTATCTTACACGTGTCACGCCATCCAGACATCAGTAACAACAAAACACATAGTATAGAGGAATAGATATAGTGATATTTTCCATTTGATTTTCTGTAGAGCAGGCATTCCTCTCCATAACTTACAAATGTTTGAACAAATCAAATGTAGTGCATCATGCAATGAGGTAGAACATTTTTAGAACAGGGAGTTTCATGAGACTTGTTGGCCAGAGGACACTGTGGGTACAAGTAGTCAACTTGGCCCAGGAGGAGTCAGATGATGAGGTGGAAAAGCACCATCTGGGCACCTTCTACTGCTTGGACTCACCAAGTAAGCAAAATACATTCAGAAAGGTGGGAAGTGTCATCTACACTTGCCATGGTCCTGCACTTTTGATCCTTGTTGAGACAAAATGACTAAGTGGACCTCTGGCCTGAGCTGCTACAATCATCTGGTGTTCTGACATTGATTTATGGTAATTATTGTAGTAACTTCTAAGTTATTATTCAAATGTAGGGAACCTAAAAGACCTTTGCATACATTGAAGTTAATAATTATTAATAATGCATTGTTAAATACATTTAAGGATAGGACTATTCATGACAATGCATGCAACCTTTAAAAGAATATTTGTAGGACGAAACTTGGGGGCATATCTTCCATGCTTTTTATGAGAAAAAGTCACTTTCTTTATATGTGAGTATGACAGCAATGATTTTGAAGATGCTTTGTTAAGGAGACGTAAAACACAGCTTTATTTTTCACAGGAATAAAAATTCTGTCTTGATCTTGCATGCTTCAGAATATGGGGAAAAAGTGTTTTGTGCACATCATTGAACCCATTGTATTGTCATAAAGTCTTCAATCTGGCAAAAAAATTATCACTCAAAATTTGATTCAAAAACAGGCAGAGGAAAAAAAAATGGCGCCATGAAACTGAACAGTAATAAGCTCATAACTATGTAGTCTGCTTCAGCACTTTCCATGGAAGTTTAACACACAACCATTAGGATTAACCATTTTATGTCTCTCAAGGGATACACCCTTCTCAATTTTCCATGTATATTTTACTTTAAGGAAGCAAAGTCAGTGAAGTGAAGCAGCATTTGAAGTTTGCTACAGTCACTTGTAAATTCCAAGCTGTGTTTTCACTTACTTTTGCTGATAAAATCTATCATGAGATTGGAAGATATCAAAGACTACTAGCAAAACAAAATATTTTCTATGATAACATTCAATTTCCTGAGGACAAAAGCTTATCTTTTCTTCTTAAATGCAAAAAAGAGCTAATA